AATCCTATCTCTTATAATCCTTTCCAACACTTTACCCACAACCGAAGCAAGGCATAAGAGTAGGGAGGTCTTGTTAAAACTCCATCAGCCACTAGTCAGACCACAGGTGGAATACTGTGAACAGTTCTGGTCCCCTGATCTAAGGAATGATATCCTGGCATCGGAGGCATTCACTTGGCTGATACCAAATCTGGAGGGTTTTCTCACAAGAAAGGGATGAGTGGGTTGAGTTTGTGCTCGTTGGAGTTTAGAAGAATGAGATGAGATATTATTAAAACAGATAAGATTCTTAGGGAGCTTAACAAGGTAGATGCTGAGAGGTTGTTTGTCCTTGTGTTAGAGTCTGTAATATCAGAGTAAGGGGTCACCCAGATAGGACAGAGATGAGAGGGATTATTTTCTTTCAGAGTGTAGTGAATTTGTAGAAATCCTTACCACAGGGGTCCATCAAGGCTGGATTGTTCAATATATTCAAAGATGAGATAGATGGATTTTTAATCAGCGAAAGAATCAAGAGTTACAGGGATAAATCAGGAAAGTGGAGTTAAGGATTACCAGATCAGCCATGATATCATTGAATGGCAGAGCAGACTCGATGGGCTGAATGGCCTACTTGTGCTCCTATGTTTCATGGGGATATGGTCTAACAGATGCATAGAAATAGGAGTAAACTATTCAGCCCATCAAGCCTGCTCCACCATTGAGAATCATGGAGATCTACAGCACAGAAAAAGGCCCTTCAGTACATTATGTCCATGCTGGTTAAAAAAACCACCACTTAACTATTCTAACCCCATTCTCCAGCACATGGTCTATAGCTTTGTAAGTCTTAGCATCACGTGTACATCTAAATACTTCTTCAATGTGATGAGGGTTTCTGTCCCTACCACCCTTACAGGCAGCGAGGTACAGCTTTTCCTCACATCCCCTCTAAACCTTCTACCTCTTTCCATAAATCTATGCCCCCGGTCATTGATCCCTCCATCATTTCTCCCGTCAACTCTATTTATGCCTTTAATAGTTTTATACATCTCAATCATGGCCCCTCTTTCTTGCCGTCTTTTAGCTTTCCTAATCTCCTCTATAAGTTCCTTCTTGCATATTCTATTTTCCACTTGGGCTTCTGCTGTTTTGAGCCCTGGCCATCTGCAATAAGCCTCCCTTTTTCCCTTAATCCAATCCTGCATATCTCTTGATATACAGGATTCACAGGATTTGAATGTCCCACCCTTTTTCTTTCTTGGAACATGTTGGCCCTGTACTCTCCATATTTCCTTCTTTAATGCATCCCACTGCTGTCGTACAGATTTACCTGAATGTATCTGCACCCAGTCCATTTTGATCAAATCATATCTGAATTTATTAAAATCAGCCTTCTCCCAGTTTCAGGCTCATCTTTGTCATTGTCCCTAACGATCTTGAATCTAAGAGAGTGATGATCGCTGTCTGTTAAATGCTCTCCCACTGATACCACAATGGTTTGCCCAGCTACATTACCACTAAGCCCAGGACTGCCCACTCTCTTGTAAGACATTCTAACTTGAAAGGTACTAGAGGTACACAAAAAAGGCAAATATATGGAGTTAGGCCACAGATCAGCCACGATCTCATTGAATGGCAAAACAACCTTGAGGGGATGAATGGCCTACTCCTGTTGCTTTGTTCTTATGTACATACTGGCCCAAAAGATGGATGCATTTTAAGAATCTGCTCCCTCTGAACCTTTCACACAATGACTACCCCAGTTAATGTGGGGGAAGTTGAAATCCCCCATTATTCACATCACTTTTACACTTCCCTGAATCTGTTCTCCTTTTTCTCTCAGACTGTTAGGGGTCCTATGGTACACTCCCAGCAAAGTGATTGCAACTTTTTTGGTTTTTAGTATCTACCCATATAGCTTCATCTGAGGTGCCATCTGAGCTGTCATCCCTTTTTCCTGCTGCTACAGATTCCCTGATCAAAACTGTGACACCACCTCCTTTTTTATACCCTTGCCTGAAAACCGTGTATATCCTGAAATATTTAGCTGTCAATCCTGCCCCTCTCTCAACCAAGTCCCATGTTTTCATTTCTGCTGTCAACCCATCTGCCCCTCATTCGTCAGGCTCCTAGCATTAAAATAAACACTGTCTATCCTTGATAAGTGATAGTAAGAATTGCAGATGCTGGAGTCAGAGATAACATAGTATGGAGCTGGAGGAACACAACAGGCCAGGAGCAGAGGAAGGAAAGCTGACATTTTTCAGAAAGGTCCCAACCCAAAGCGTCAACTTTCCTACTCCTCTGATGCTGCCTGGCCTGCTGTGTCCATCCTTGATAAACTCCCTTGTGCCACCCTGGCTCACTGGCCGTGTCTCCTAATGTTGAACATTCTCTCAGGATCCCAGCCTCCTGCTAAGTTAGTTTAAATCCTCCCCAACAGCACTAGCGAACCTGCCCGCAAGGGTGCTGGCCCCATTCCAATTCTGGTACGACCTGCCCCCTTGTACAGGTCCCACAGACCTCAAATATGGTCCCAATGTTGCAGAAATCTAACACTCTCCCTCCTGTACCATTTCTTGAGCCACACATTCATCTGGTTTAACCTCTTACTCCAATACTCACTCGCATGTGATCTCAGACATAATTCAGAGATTACCACCTTTTGGATCCTGTTCTTTAATCTACTTCCTAGCTCCCTAAGTTCTACTTTCAGGACCTCATCCCTTTTTCTACCTGACGTAAATATGATCACGGCTGATTGAGCACTTTTACTCAAACTAACCCTTTTGTATAGAACATAGAATAGTACGGTACAATACAGGCCCTTCAGCCCATGATGTTGTGCTGACCTATTATCCTTCTCTAAGATCAAACTAACATGCATACCCTTCATTTTATGCCATTGGCATCAGCAATCTACTAACCTCTTCTTTAAATATACTCAAATACTGACCTTCGTCAGCCATCCTGGGAGAAAATCCCATGGATTCACAAACCTTTGAGTCATGGGAATGCTTCTCATTTTGATGCTAATTGGCATTCCCCTCATTTTTAAATTGCACCCCCTCAAACAAATCTGACTTGCATCCTTGCGATGGTTTCAATGAGGCCACCTCCCATTGTTCAAAACTGTCGCAGTTCTAGGCCCAGTTTGACCAATCTCCCGTCATCAAGACTTCACTACTCCTGTACTCAAGCCCTCTTTCAATAAAGGTCAACATTCCATTACCCTTCCTAATAGCTTGCTGCACCTGCATGTTAGCCTGCAAAGACCTGTCCACAAGGACATCTGGGTTACTTCTGCACATCTACACTTTCCAACCTCTCCCATTTAAGAAATATTCCACGTGTCTGTGCCTCCTACCAAAGTGGATAGCCTCAAGTTTTTCCACATTATATTCCATCTTTCCATGTCCTTGCTCATTCACGAAGCCTGTCCAAGCTCTCTCAAAACTGCCTTACAACTTCCTTACAACACCCAATCCTGCTTAGCTTTAATCACCTGCAGGCTTGTAAATATTATATTTGGTCCCTGCATTCAAATCAATGATATATATTAGGTACAAAATGAGTCAAGGTGTTATAGAGATCTACAGGACACAAAAAGGCCATTCAGCCCAGCTCGTCCATGTTGGTCAAACACGACCAACCATTCTAATCCCATTCTCCAGCACGTGGCCTATGACTTGGTATGTCTTGGCATCATAAGTGAACATCTAAATACTTCTTTGATGTTATGAGGATTTCTGCCTCTACCACAGGCAGTGAGTTCCTACCACACTCTAGGCAAAACAATTTTTCTCACATCCCCCCTAAACTTCCTGAGCATCCCTTCAACCTGTGCCCCTGATTACTGATCCCTCTGCCAAGGGGAAAAGTTTCTTCCTGTCTACCCTATCTGTATCCGCCATAATTTTATACATCTCAATCATGCTCCCTCTCAATTTCCTCTGCTCTAAGGAAAACAACCCCAGTGTGTCGAACCTCTCTTCATAAACGAAACTTTCCAGACCAGGCGACATCCTGATAAATATCCTCTGCACCCTCTCCATGGTATTTATAAGGCCATCAATAAACAATAGAATTAGACCGTATATACAAACCAGTGCAAAGTAAAACTGGAAATGAGGTAATCAATGCCAACAGAGCCCAGAGTTTAAATAACAGGCAGGAAAACACAACAGCGCCTCATCGCAGGCTGCATTGATGATGTTACCCAGCAGGGCAATGAAATGTCTGTGAACTAACGAACCAGCTCGGTGAGCGAGCCAACCGCAGGATCCACAACCCAAGCTACAAATCTACTCAAGAATATTGGATTTGAAAAGAATAAGGAAATATCGAGCCTTAGAGGATGTTAGTCCCTCCACAATCTAAAGAGATTTCATGCAACACGCTAGGAATATAAACTGTTATCATCCTCATATCAATTATTTTCACAGTGAACGAAGATCTTCCATTTGCTGGAGATCAAAATAATTTATGAAGTTGCGCATCACCTATTCATCTGCGGCATCTGTGAGAGTCACATGGGCAAGAGCACCCCGTAAGAGCACTGTCACCCTGTAACAGCTGCCTTGACAGGACTGTATTCTGCTCAAGCTCACAATGACTTTGTGTTCTTCAGTTCCCATTCATTTCATGGTTCAGAACAGGGTGTTCCAGTCCCATTGCAAAATGAGGGAGAATGGGAGGTGTAGAAAGCAGGTGCGATTCTGTTAATAGTGTACTCACCTGTCAGGTAAAGGTGATATTGAGGGACTCGCAGTAGCAGCATGTAAAGACACTGCTTTACAGTCAGCCTGTTAGAATCAGGTTGGACCTAGGAACCATGACACGGGAAGAGAGATCAATTAAAATCATCACTCCAAAATAAATCCAACAATTAATTTCACAGGATTGACACAGAGAGACCACGAAACAAAAATTGTCAACGTGGGATTCCAAACAATCACTCTTAGAAAGAACAGAAACAGAAACACAGATCCACAGAAGGCTGTGAATACTGCAAACGCCACCTCTAGCTGGTGCATAGAGTGTGCACGTGTGAAGAGAAACCAGATATCAGCTGGAAAATAATGAAAGCAGCAGCCGCTGTTAAAGATGGCAATGCAGAAAATGGGTTAATTGAAGGAAGAGAAATCCAGGCGACCTGAAACATACACTGACTGGGGGAGAGTAACTGGACTCAGATCGTGAGGCCTTAAAAAGGCTGTTGCAGGAGAGAAGCCTAGCAGTGACTCTGTTCCAGTGTTTATCCACAGATAGTGACATGAACCGAAACCAGAATGCGGATCACTTCTTTTTACATGCGGGACTCAGCCACACAAAAACAAACCCACAGAAACCGCAAAACAAACACAGACACACAGAAATAGCAACACAAGCACAGACCCACAGAAACAGCAACACAAACACAGACCCACAGAAATAACAACACAAACACAGACCCACAGAAACAGTAGCACCAACACAGACCCACGGAAACCGCAACACGAATATAGACCCATTTAAACACTAATGCAAACACAGGCCCACAGAAACACTAACGCAAACACAGACCCACAGAAACACTAACGCAAACACAGACCCACAGAAACAGTAGCACCAACACAGACCCACAGAAACCGCAACACAAATACAGACCCATTTAAACACTAACGCAAACACAGGCCCACAGAAATACTAACGCAAACACAGACCCACAGAAATACTAACGCAAACACAGACCCACAGAAACACTAACACCAACAAAACCCCCCAGAAATTCTAACACCAAAGATTCACAGAAACACTAACACAGATACATACCCACAGAAACACTAACACAAACACAGACTCACAGAAACCCTAACGCAAACACAGACCCACAGAAACAGCAACACACAGACCCACTGAAACGCCAACACAATGTTAACACACAGAAACACTACCTCAAACACAGACCCACAGAAACAGTAACACAAACGCAGACCCACAGAAACAGTAACACAAACACAGACCCACAGAAACAGTAACACAAACACAGACCAGCAGAAACAAACACCAACAGAGACCCACATAAACGCTAACACAAATACAGACCTACAGATACACTAACTCAAACACAGACCCTCAGAAACACACACAGCCAGAGTAACACTAAAGCAGACTCACATAAACAGCAACTCCAACATAATCCCACAGAAATGCTAGCACCAACACAGACTCATAGAACACCGAAAACAAACACAGATCTCCAGAAACACTGATACAAAAAGAAACCCACAGAAGTGCCAACTCTAACACAGACCCACAGAAACACTAACGCCAACACAGACCAACAGAAACGCAAACACAGACAAACAGAAACAGCAACACAAACAGCACCATAGAAACACTAACAGAAATAAAGAAACACTGAAACACAGGAGCATATTGCAGCATAGTGGCAATATGACCCAAGCAATAATTAGGACTCTGGGCTGGTGCCTGGTCACGTGGGTTCAAGTCCCACCATAGCAGCCGTGGAATTCAAATTCAGTGAATAAATCTGGAATTGGAAGTAATCTCCATAATAGTGCCATGAAATATTCATTGTTGTAAATAAAAACCCCATCTGGTTCACTAATGCCCTTTAAGGAAGATAATCCGTTGTCCTTACCTGTTCTGGCCTACATGTGACTCCAGACCCACTGAATCTTAATTTTCCTCTTAAAATGGTTGGGCATGTCATTTAGCTCAGGATTTGGTGCCCAGGTTGGGTATCAAATGCTGGTCTTGCCAGTGATACCCACATCCCATGACAGAACAAAGGGGGAAAAAAAGACTTGCTAAAAGCACTCAGACACAAATACAGACCAACTAAAAGACAGACCCAGAGAAACAATAAAAAAAACACAATCAATACAGACCCCACGGATCTGGAGAAACACAATGACCATCTCTTCTCCTCTCTCAGAGCCAAAACAGAATTTCCCTTCTACCTTACCAATCTCTACAGGGAAAGAATCATGCAACCCTGTTCCCACCAGCAAATCCAACATGCTGCCACAACAAACACATCTTCCCCTTCCCATCAGCGTTAACCAGGGCTCATTCCACCACCCCCCACCCTCACCCACCACACCTTGGTCCACTTCTCTATCACCCCCCAGGACCTCATTCCTCCTTCCATGACACCTTTCCATAAAGAATGATTAATGTTTGTCCTTTTCCCCTCTCTCCTCACTGCCCCAGGCTCCAGGTCTGTGAAGCAATGATTTATGTGTGCTTCGTTTAATCTAGCTTACTATATTCAAGCCTCACAATGTGATCTCTTCTACATTTGAGAGACCATTCTAATTCTCCACCTTGCCCTGACAGTGACATCTCTGTCCTTGATCTGCTGCATTGCTCCAGTGAAGCCAAGTGCAAGCTGAAGGAACAGCACCTCAACGTTCAATTAAACATGTTACAGTCTCTGGACTCGACATGCTGGTCAATGACTTCAGACTACAAATGCTGTCCTCTGTTTTTTTTTTGCTGTGTGTCAGACTTTATCTTATCTTACATGCTTGTGTTTGGACACAGCAGTACGTTAATTCAACAACATTCAACCTACCACACTTCTTTCCCCACTTCAGTCCTGAAGAAATCATATTTGAATCTAACTGTTAGCTCTATTATTCTACTCAGATGCTGCCAGACCTGCTGGGTAGTTCCAGAACTCACTGTTTTTATTTCAGATTCCCAGCGTCTGCAGGATTTTATTTTTATTATGCAGATCACTGAATCTGGTAGGAGCTTAATCCCAAACATGCTGAGAGGCAGAAAGTTGCAGAATGCAAAGAAAACTTTAGATAATTAACCATTCACAACTTGGAATCAACTAACAGTTGACAATGCAGACAAATGCACCAAAGTGCTGAGGTTAGTTAAACTGAAGAGAAAGAAAAAGGATTACACTGTAAGGCCAACCATCCAGATGAATAAGATGAACAGATGGAAAAACAGAAAACTCCCCCAATTAATGATTAGAAAGCCCAAAGCTTCAATCCCACTCACAACCTTGCACCCTGATCACTGACTCCATCTCCCCTCCCGGCCATGACTTAAGCCTTGAGATGTCTGACAGCAAGATTGGGTTCTGATTTGCAAAGGAGATGAACTTCCAATATTCTGGGGTCTTATCTAAAATTCAAAATGATTATGGCTGATCCACAGCAATCAAACATTTGGCCCCTTCATCTGAGTCACCGATATAGATTGAGGCCCCAGCACTGATGCCTACAAAATCTAGTGAAACTTTTCAAAGAGATGACCGAGTATTTGGATGAGGGTAGGGCAGATAATGTAGTTTATATGGATTCCAGCAAGGCCTTCAACAAGGTCCCATGTGACAAGGAAAACTAGTGAGGAAGGTAAAAGCTCATGGGATCTAGGGTAACTTGGCAAAATTAGCTGAGTGATAGGAGAGGGTGGATAGTGGAGAGGACTGTTTGTGTGACTGGAGTTCAGTGTGCAATGGTGTACCACAGGGATCTGTGCTGGGTCCCTTATTTTACAGAGAATGTGGGAGGGGCGATAAGTAGGTGTGAGGATGACAATGGGTGACTGACAATGAAGGGAGGTGTCAGGTTTCAGGAGGATATAAACAGATTGGTCAGTTGGACAGGTCAGTAATAAATGTGAGGTGACGCACTTTAAGAAGGAACAAGACTAGGGAGTGCTTAATGAATAGCAGGACACTGGGAAGCTCAGAGTAACAGAGGGATCTTGGGGTGCCAGTCCACAGATTGCTGAAGGTGACAGGAGAGATCAATAGGATAATTAAGAAGGCATACAGGACACTTTCCTTTTTCAGCTATGGCTTTAAGAGCAGGGAAGTCATGTTGGAGCAGTACAGAACTTTGGTTACACCATAGCTGGTGTACTGTGTGCAGTTCTGGTCCCCACACTAAAGGAAGAATGTGTTCACAATGGATGGGGTACAGAGGAGATTCACCAGGATGTTGCCTTAGATATAAAATTTCAGCTACGAAGAGATACTGGGTGATCTCAGGTTATTATCTTTGGAGCAGGTTGGTGGGGGGGACTGATACAAGTGTATAAGATTAGGAGCAGCTTGGACAGGGTGAATAGAAAGCAACTGTTTCCCTTAGCTGACTTGGTCAGATGTGTGGCAGATGAAATTTAATAAAGTATGATGTGATACATAATTTGACACAACTTTATTCAATTCCTCTGTAGCAAGGAAATAAATCGCAGCCTATCCATGTTTTTTCTCGTGGCAACAATTCTCCAGTCATGGCTACGTCTTGGCAAATCTACCCTGTAGCCTCACTTAGTGCAACCACATTCTTCCTGTAATGTAGTGGCCAGGGCTCTGCAGTTTCATAGTTCCAGCAAAACCTCCCTGCTCTTATACTCTAATTCATGGCCAATAAAGGAGGAGATTCCGCCTGCTACCTTAAACAAATTTTCTACCTGTCCTGGTACCTTCAGGGACCAAAAGTCCCTCTGTCCCTCTACACTTCTCAGTATTTATTGTGGATTCTCTTATCGAACTTCCTGAAAGTGCATCACCTCACACTTCTCCAGGTTGAATTACATTTGACAGTTTACTGCCCAGCTGATCAGTCCATTGATAACTTCCTCCAGTCGAGTACCTGACCAATTTTTGTACGAGCTGCAATTTTTGGAGTAGAGATGGTTCTGGGGAGAGATTTTAATGCAGAATTATGACAGGCTTTGAGCAAGCAAATGAGTATGTGTTTCCACTGGCAGGTTGTTAGTGAACTGGCTGGTCTCAAATGCACTATCGAAAAAGACAGAAATGTTCACAAGGCAATTGGATAAACACTCAAAAAAGGAAATACTTTGCAAGCTTTTCCAAAGAGCTGGTACAAACATAATGTTCACAAACTACTCTTTCTGTTCTACATTGCTCTGACATTCTGGGACTGAGTTAATCCCAGAAGATCCCAGACCAATGACTCATATCTGCAGGAGGGACAATTTTCACGTCTTTGATTAAGGACAATATGACTGTGCATCAAGAGAAAGAGAAAGGAATTAGAAACTGCCAAAAGAGGTTTTAAAACAGAAAACCTGGCAAACTTGATGGAATTCCTTAAGGAAGTAACAGCATTGTAGATGGGAAATGGAGTGGATGTGGTGTACATGCATATCAGGAAAGTCATGGACAAAGTAACACATAGAAAATGACTCCAGGAGATGAACAGGGTGAAAGGGAAGGAGAGTAAACTGCATTAATACATCAGGCAGGAGAACGACTTTCAGAGCAATGTTTCAGAAGTAGGTACAGTGTCCCACAGTGTTCAGTTCTGGAATCATCACTGTTCAATGTCTGTGATGATAACTTGCTTAAGGTCTAAATAAGACTGACATCGAATTACGTCAGACATACAATACTGAGAAAGACCATGTGGCCAAACAGGTCTCTGTGCTCCCTTCTGAGCCTGTTCCCATCCTCCCACCCCTGACTCAGTCAGCGCAATCCTCCATTCTGTTCTCCCTCCTATTCTTGTCTGGCTACCCCTTAAAAGTGACAATAAGATTCACTTTAACCACTACCTGTAGGAGCAGATTGCACATTCTCACCAAACTCTGGACAAATTTTTCTTCACACAAATGCACCCGTTCTTCTCCTAGCCAATACTCCTCATTTCTGCTCTCTCCCCACCCAGCCAACATTTATTTACCCCTAACCCCCATTATGCCAATACACAATTACCCCGACTACCCATCTACTCAACACTCCCTTTTTAACCCCCATTCAACCAACATTCCTTACTTTACCCCATTCTCCACCCAGCCAACACTCTTCATTTATGACCATCCCCCATCTAGCCAACACTCTTATTTCACCCTCATTACCAATCCAGCTAACACACCTCATTTACAGACAGCAACAACTGCAGATGCTGGACTCAGTGTCACTACAGGGTGGAGCTAGAGGAACGCAGTAGGTCAGGCAGCATCAGAGGAGAAGGTAGGTCAACATATTAGGTCAACTTTCCTACTCCCCCAATGCACCTCATTTATCCACTTTCCCATCCTGACAACAATCCTCATTTATCCCATTACCTACCCAGGTAATACACCTCATTTACCCACTTTCCCACCAGCCAAAACTCCTCAGTTACCCCCTTTCATAACTGGCCAACACTAATTTACTCTTACCCTCCGTGCCAATACTCCTCATTTACCCCCATCTCCCGACCAGCCAAGGTATTTCACTCGTCCACATTCCTTATCCATTTACCCCAATCCCAATCCAGCCAACACTCATCATTTACCCCCATTTGGAACCCAGCTAACAAACATTCCTCTTTCAACCACATTCCCCATCCAGCCAGCACTCCTCTTTTACTCCAGAGTTCTTAAAGAAGGGTCTGAAGAAATGGTAACTCTTGCTTTCTCTCCACAGATGCTGGCAAACTTACTGAGTTTCTCCAACAATTCCCACTTTTGATTCATTTACCCCATTCACCCACACGGCCAACTCTCATCATTTATCCTCTATCCAAACCCAGTCAATAGTCATTTACCCCCATCAACCAGTTTAAACCCATTCTCTACCCAGTCAACACTCCTCACATAACCCTAATCGCCATCTAAACAACACTCATTTACCACCATTCCCCAAACAAAAGCTCCCCTTATCCCTTTCCCCATCCAGACAACACTCCACATTTACCCCATTCCCTATCCAGCCAATACTCTTTTACCCCCATTACCCATCTAGCCAATACTCCCTTTTTACCCACATTCACCATCATTTACCCCTATGCCCCATTCAGCCAATATTGATATAACTCCATTCCCAATCCAGTCAACACTCCTAATTTACCCCAATTCCCCATCCAACCAACACCCCTCTTTTACCCCCCTTTCCCACCAGCCAACACTCCTCAATTATCCACTTTCCTCACTCAGCCAACATTCGTTTACCCCACACCCCACTGGCCAACAGGCATCCAGCCAACATTCCTCATTTACCTCCATTCCCCATCCAGCCAAAATCCCTCATTTACCTCCATTTCCCATCTGGCCAGAATCCCTCATTTACCTCAATTCCCCATCCAGCCAAAATCCATCATTTACCTCAATTCCCCATCCAGCCAAAATCCCTCATTTACCTCCGTTTCCCATCCAGCCAAAATCCCTCATTTACTTCCATTTCCCATCCAGCCAAAATTCCTCATTTACCTCCATTCATCATCCAGCCAAAATCCCTCATTTACCTCCATTCACCATCCAGCCAAAAATCCCTCATTTAGCTCTATTCCTCATCCAGCCAAAAATCCCTCATTTACCTCCATTCTCTATCCAGCCAGCACTCATAATTTACCCCAATTCCCCATCCCACCTGCACTTCCCTTTTACCCACATTTCCCGCCAACCAACGCTCCTCATTTATCCACTTTTCTCACTCAGCCAACATTAATTTACCCCATAACCAACTGGCCAATGCTCTACATCTACCCTAATTGCTATCATTTACCCTCATTCTCCAATCAGCCAACACTCCTCATTTACCTGTAATCTGCATCCAAACAGTATTCCTCATATATCATCATTAATTTACCAGGCAATTATTGCGAACAAGGGCCACTGGACCTGAAACGATACCTCTGCTTTCTCTCCACAGATTCTGCATGACCCTGTTGAGTTTTTCCAGCAATTTCTGTTCTTGTTTCTGATTTACAGCATCTGCAGTTCTTTTTGTTTTCTTTATTCCTCAGTTACCCCTTTCATAACCAGCCAACACTCATTTAAACTCTTCCCTTCCATGCCAACACCCCTCATTCACCCCCATTCTGCACTCAGCCAACACACCTCATTCTGCACTCAGCCAACACCCCTCATTCACCCCATTCTGCACTCAGCCAACACCCCTCATTCACCCCCATCCTGCACTCAGCCAACACCCCTCATTCACCCCCATGAACCATCAAACCAACACTCCTCATTTACCTGCATTCCCAAGCCAGCCAACACTCCTCATTAAACCCCTAATGCCCATCCAAACAACATTGCTCATTTATCCCCATTCTTCACCAAGACAACATTCCCCACTTCTGGACTGACCTATCTCCTCCCTACCTCCCCACCGACACTCACCTTTACTGGCTCCATCCCCGCCCCCTTGACCTGTCTGTCCTCCCTGGACTGACCTATCCCCTCCCTAACTCCCCATCTACACTCACCTTTACTGGCTCTATCCCCATCTCTTTGACCTGTCTGTCTCCTCTCCACCTATCTTCTCCTCTATCCATCTTCTATCCGCCTCCTCCTCTCTCCCTATTTATTTCAGAACCCCCTTCCCCTCCCCCATTTCTGAAGAAGGGTCTAGGCCCGAAACGTCAGCTTTCCTGCTCCTATGATGCTGCTTGGCTTGCTGTGTTCATCCAGCTCTACACCTTGTTATCTCAAATTCCCCATTTCTCCCCTTTTCCCATCCAGCCAACAACTCTGTCACATCAGGAGCAGAAATATTTCATGATGTGAAATGGCAATGTAAGCTGCGAGGAGATGATACTAAGGTGGTGAAAAAGGCTAAAATGTGACAGTTGGAATTCTAGCTTTGAGAATATGAAGTGATTTATCTCAGTAGAACTGATAGTGGCAATGATAGTGTTAATGGGAGCTAGTTCAGGTCTTGGGAAGAGCAGATGGATGGTAAGCAGACATGTCATACGTCTGTAAAGGTTAATAAAGGTGTCAAAAGGTTTTGAGGATTTGAGTGAATTGCTGGGAGACAATTTGCAGAATGTTACCTCGAACTCCAGCAGCCTTGTGGAAAGCTCTTGTGAGTTGCTACAGGATTGTTCCAGGATTGCGAGGTTATGTTCAAATTGCTCAATATACCTGGAGTACACACTCAGTCTGGGCCCTCGGGCTAAGATCACATGCGCCAAACATGGGCCTGCCTGCTCCCTGATGGTAGAAAGGTATGGACTCAGTCAAATAATGCAACAGTCACTCTTGGTTGACCATCACCACTAACCACCCCCTCTCCCCCCACCAGTCCCCCTCCACAATGCCCCACTCCCCCCACCATTCTCCAGATTCCCCACCCAATGAAAAATTTTATAATCCTCTTTAAAGTGCTTTGTTCATGGGATATGGGTGCCACTAGCTGGGACAGCTGCATTTCTTGTCCATCACCAACAGCCTTTGGATATTTGGTGGTGATCCTCTTGATCTGCTGCAGTCCATTTGTGTAGGAATTCTCTTGGAAGGGACTTCAGGATTTTGACACAGCAACACATCAGGGATACCACTCATCCCATGTCAGGACAATGTGTGGCCTGGGGAGAACTTACAGCTAGTGGTGCTCCTATGTATCTGCTGTCCTTGTCCTTCTGGATAGAAGTGGCTGTGGATTTAGAAACTGCTGCTGGAGTAATTTGGTGAATTTGTGCAATGCATCTTACAGATTATACAGATGGTACACACAGCTGCTACTGAGCATCAGCGGTGAAAGGAATGGATGTGGTGCCAATCAAGCAGGCTGTTTTGGTCTGGATGGCATCAAGCGTCTTAAGTGTTGTTGGAGCTGCACCCATCCAGCAGTGTGGGAAGTATTCCATCATATTCCTGACTTGTTCCCTAGTGCCTGGGAAGGAGGTGAATTAATTGCTGCAGAATTTCCAGTCTCTGACTTGCTGTTGTAGTCATTGTATTTATGTGACCAGTCCAATTCAGTCTCTGGTCAATGGTAACCCCAAGATATTGATAGTGGGGCAAAGTTATTTAACATTAATGGGGAGACGATTGGACTCTCTTTTGTTGGTGATGATCATTATCTGGCACTTGTGTGGCACAAATGTAAGTTGCCACTTATCAGCCCAAGCCTGGATGGTGTCTGGGTCTTGCTGCATTCAGACATGGGCTGCTCCAGTTGTAAATGACACGAGCATCCCCACTTCTGACCTTTATGACGGAAGGAAGGTCATTGATGAAGCAGCTGAAGGAGGTTGGGCCTCTGAGGGGCCCCTGCAGAGATGTCCTGGAGCTGAGATGACTGACCTCTAAAAGCAACAATCATTTTCCTTTGCACTAGGTATGAGAGGTTTCTCCCAATACCCACTGACTCATGTTTTCAAGAAGACGTTACATTCAGTCAGACGCTGCCCTGGATGTCAACAGCAATGACTGTCACCCCTGGAGTTCATCCCTTTTATCCACTGTTTAGACAAAAGCTGTAATGAGATCAGAATCCAAACACAGCACCAGTGAGCAAGGCATTCATTTGCAAGTGCTGTTGATAGTACCATCAGCTTCCATCACTTTACTGATGATCGAGAGTAGACGAATGGAGCAGTAATAGGGGTGATTGGATTTTTTGGTGTACAGGACATCCCTGGGCAAGTTTCCCACATGGTTGGTTAGATGACAGTGTTGTAACTGTACTGAGAAAGGTTGGCCAGGGAGGGCCGCAATGTCTTCAGTACTATTCCTGGAATGCTGTCAGGGTCCACAAACTTCGCAGTATCCAGTGCGTCCAATTGTTTCCTGATATCACGTAAAGTGAGTCAAACTGGCTAAAGGTATCTGTGATTCTGGGGACCACTGGAAAAGGCCGAGATGAATGATCTGCTTGAAATGTTTGGCTGAACGTAAATGCAAATTCTTCATCCTTGTCTTTTGCACCCATTACTGAGGGTGGGAATACTTACAGAGCCTCCCTCACCAGTGAGTTGTTTAATTTCTCCATGACTCTGGTAGGACTGCAGAGCTTAGATGTGACCTCTGCACTGTTGGATCCTTTGGCTCTGTCTACCACTTGATGCTTCTTCTGTTTGACACACGAGAAGTCCTTGTAGCTTCATCTCACTTTTAGGTCTGCATGGCTCTGCACACTTCTTTGAACCAGGGTTGATCTCTACATCTCCTTAATGTAGTGGTTGAGTGGAGGATACGCTGGGCCAAGAGGTTACAGATTCTGCTTGAATGCAATTTTGCGGCTGTGAATGACCTGCAGTGCCTCACGGATGTTTTCAATTGCTAGATCTGTTCAAAGCCTGTCCCATTCTGTGCCACACAATGCAATGGAAGGTATCCTCAATGTGAGGATGGAAATTTGTCTCCACAGGGCTGTGCAGTGATCACTCCTACTGATACTGCCACGTGTGGATGCTTGTGTGATACATGGATTGGTGAGGCTGAGGGGAGTAACGTACCTGGCCATACCCCACCCAACCTCTTTTACTTCAACCCAGAAAACCTATACATCCTGAAGATCATTGGAACATGAGGGATGGGAACAGGAGGAGGCTGTACAGGGCCTAGAATGTGTTCCACCATTCAACACACTCACGGCTGATCAGATATTGACCTTAACTCCACCTCTCTCCCATTCCCCATAAACACGTGTCAATCAAAAATCTGTGTAGCTCAGCCTTGAATATATTCCGCAAATCAGTCTCGCCAAGGCAGAGAATTCCAAAGGTTGATGATCTTCGAACAGGGGTAAATCCTCCTTTTCTCCATCTCAATTGTGAGACCCCTTACATTTAAACTGTGTCCCCTAGTTCTAGATTCCCTCATGTAGAGAAACACATTCTCAGCATTTACCCTATCATGCCCCACAGAAACCTACACATTTCAATAAATTGACCTCCAAAGAATTCGACTTACTAAACCTTTCCCCATGACACCATCTCTTTATAATAGGAGTCTCTGAACTGCATCCAATGCGAGTATATCCCTTGTTAAATAAAGAGACTAAAAATGACTAGTCTTTGGATTTTTCATACTAGTCTTTGCCTTGCCACAAGCCTTTGCAGTTGTCAATCTTCACAGTCAATTCTTCACTAGTGTCCAATTCTCTTTGGTGGAATGCAGTATGATGTTGATGAACATATTACCACAGGACCCTCTAGTCACATGTCAAAACAGTAACAATGCTTTTTTTTGGAAATGGTTTTCAGCAAACTTGGCCTTTCTTTCTTCTGATGCAAAACTTGCTTTTGGCTTAGTCTGCCTTGCCTCCTTGTAACACTCCTCTGTAGCATCACTTTTCAAATACAGTGATTCGTTCAGTTTCTTGCTTTTCTTTCATGCTCAAAATATCCCTATCATACCCCATGATGAACATTATGCTGCACAGTGTATTGTTCGTAGCAACTTATACCTAGACGCACATCCTAACATAGACTACATTATTCACTGCAAAGTACAATGCATTTTACACCGTATATCCCCCAATGTCAGCACAATAATTTCAGTCCATTGAGTCAAAAACAAACACCTAACTATTCTAATCCCATTTTCCAGCATTTGCCCATTAGCCTTGTATGCCTTGACATTGCAAGTACACATCTAAATACTTCTTCAATGAGGATTCTGCTTCTATCACCCTCACAGGTTAGTGAGTTCCAGATTCCCACCACCCACTGGGTGAAAACATTTTTCCTCACATCCCCTCCCTACCTTGCCTTACATTTATGACTCCTGGTCATTGATCCCTCCATTGAGGGAAGAAGTTTCTTCCTGTCTATCCTATCTATGTCCCTCATAATTTTATACATCTCAATCAGGTCCCTTCTCAATCTCCGCTGCTCTAAGGAAAACAACACCAGTCTGTCCAATCTCTCTTCATAACTGAAACTCTCCAGCCCAGGCAACATCCTGGTAAATCTCCCCTGCACCCTCTCCGCTGCTATAATGTGGATTCCAGAACTGCGCACAATACTCTTGCTGTGGCCTAACCAACATTTTATACAGTTCCAGCATCACCTCCCTGCTCTTAAACTCTATGCCTTGGCTAAGGAAAACAATTATCCCATTTGCCTTCTTAACCACTGTATCTACCTGCCCTGATACATTAAGGGACCAGTGTACATGCACATCAAGGACCCTCTGATCCTCAGTGCTTCCCAGGGTCCTACAGTTCACCATGTAATCCCTTAGCTGTTTGTCTTCCCTAAGTGCATCACCTCACTCTTTTCCAGGCTGAATTCCATATGAAAAGCCTTGTTGGAGTCCAAATAGATCAGAAGTACTGCCTTCATCTACACAGCTGATCACCTCTTTGAAACTTTTAATCAAGTTCATAGCTCAACAGCATTGTGGATTTCACAGCTGATCCTGCAATTGCAGGCTTAATTACAGGTTTAATACAGTTTCATTATAGTTACTTTATTTCACTAATATAAGATTTTTAATCATTTTGTTTCTTTAACATTCAAGAAAAACAAAAAAAATCGCAAGCTTTTTTCAAACTGACGTTTTTTAACAGGCATTTCAGAGGCATACAGTGAAGTTTTTTTTTAATTTTTAGAAGCTTAAAAAAGCTATGCATGTTTTAAGGAGAGTTTTCTTTACACTGCAAGAGCTTTTTTTTTGAATAGGCAAGGAGATTTTAATATAAACGGAGTTGTGTTTTTGTTTTGAAGAATCCTACATGTGGTCAGTTCTGGAGACAATTTTTTTTGAATGAGGAATTTATTGAATGAAAAGGAGTCATCTTAATTCAGTGAATCAGCTAAGTGGTTGATTTTATTTAAGATTTTTATGTTTTATTTTTAAATTTTCTTGCATTTCTGTAGATAATGAAAGGTAGTTTATTTTATGTATAAGGTATTATTGAAAGTTGCTTTTTGTCAGGCTTACTGTTATTGAGGGCACAGTAGGTTTAGAAAAATGATTACACAGCAAGATCAGTCAGATAGATGGGTGACTGTCAGAAAAGGTAATTCAAAAGTCTCCAGTGGCTATTCCTCTATCAAATAGATTTTCAGTTTAAGGTACTGTTGAAAAAGAATACACTCTCAGAGGAAAATAGAAGGGCTGGTCAGTTATTGGACACTAGGAATGATTCTTAAGTTAGGCAGTGTTTGAAAAAGTGTAATAAGGTTGTAATAATGGGGGATTTTAATGATACAAACATTGACTGGGGCTACTATAATGTTAAAGGTTTGGATGGTGAAGAATTTGTCAAATGTGTTCAAGAAAATTTTCTTTAATCAATATGTCAATGTTCCTAGAGAAGGAGCAAAATTTGTCCTACTCTTGGGCAATAAGGTAGGGCAGGTGACTGAAGTAAAAGTGGGGTCAAGCTTTGGGTCTAGCAATCATAATTCTATTAGTTTTAAATGGTTATGGAAAAAGGTAAGTCTTCCGTAAAAGTTAAAGATTTTAATTGGAGTAAGGCAAATTTTAATGGTGTGAGACAAGAACTTTCAAAAGTCGATTGGAGTACACTGTTCGCAGGTAAAAGGACATCTGACAAGTGGGAGGCTTTCAAGATTGTGATTATGGGAGTTCAGAGGCATTATGTTGCTGTTAGAGTGAAGGGTAAGGCTGGTAAAATTAAGGAACAATGGATGAATAAAAATATTGAGGTTCTAGTCAAGAATAAAAGAGAATCTCGTATTAAATATAGCCCACTGGGTTCAAATGAATCTCTTAATCAATATGAAGAGTGTAGGAGCATTCTTAAGAAGGAAATTAGGAAAGCAAAGAGCGGATATGAGACAGCATTGGCAGATAAGGTGAAGGATAACACAAAAAGATTCTACAAATACATTAAGAGTAAAAAGGTAACTAGTAGAGAGAGTAGGACCACTTAAAGGTGAGAGGTCATATTTGTGTTGAACCCCAGGAGATGGGAGATATATTAAATGAATATTCCGCATCAGTTTTCAGTGTGGAGAAAGAAATGGAGGCTACAGAATTCAGGGAAATAAATCAGTTTTAAAATTAGTTCACATTACACAAGAGGAAGTTCGGGAAGTCCTAGAGAATATAAAGGTAAATATATCTCTGGGACCTGATCTAATGTATCCCAGAACATGTGGAAAGTAAGGGAGGGAATTGCAAGACCCCTTGCAGAAATATTTGCATCATCTATAGCTAAGGGTGAGGTGCCTGATGACTGGAGGGTGGCTAATGTTGTGTCTTTGTTTAAGAAAGGATGTAAGGAAAAACTGGGGAACTGTGAGTCTGACTTCGGTTGTGGGTAAATTTTTGGAGGTGATTCTGAAAGAAAGGGTTTATAAATATTTACAGAGGCAAAAATTGATTAGGGATAATCAGCATGGTTTTGTGCGAGGCAAATCATGTCTCACAAACTTGATGGAGTTTTTTGAGGAAGTTCCAAAAAGATTGATGAGGGCAGAGCAGTAGACATTGTTTATTTGGATTTTAGTAAAGCCTTTGACAAGGTTCCGCATGGTAGACTAGTTAGTAAAGTTAGGTCACATGCGATTCAAGGTGAGCTGACCGATTGGATACATAATTGGCTTAACAACAGGAGACAGAGAGTGGTGGTGGAGGGCTGCTTTTCAGACTGGAGACCAGCAATGGTTCCGCAGGGATTGGTTCTAGGTCTTTTTTTGTTTGTCATTTATATAAATGATTGGGATGAGAATATAGAAGGCATGGTTAGTAAGTTTGCGGATGACACCAAAATTAGTGGCATTGTAGACCGTGAAGAAGGTTTTCTAAGATTACAAACGGATCTCGATCAAATGCGTCAATGGGCTGAAAAATGGTAGACAGAGTTCAATTTGGATAAATGTGAAGTATTGCATTTTGGTAAAACAAACAGGGCAGGACTTATACAATTGATGGTAGGGCCTTGGGTGACATAGTAGAACAGAGGAACCTAGGGGTTCAGGTACACAATTCATTGAAGTTTGCATCACATATAGACAAGGTGGTTAAAAAGGCGTTTAGCACATTTGCCTTCATTGCTCAATCCTTTGAGTATCGGAGTTGGGATGTCATGTTAAGGTTGTACAGGACATTGGTGAGGTCTCAGCTGGAATACTTTGTCCACTTCTGGTCACCCTGTTATTGGAAGAATATTATTAAGCTGGAGAGGGTTCAGACGATATTTACCAGGATGTTGCTGGGTATGGAAGGTTTGAGTTATGAAGAAAGGCTGGATAGGCTGGGACTTTTCTCACTGAAGCATAGGAGGTTGAGAAGTGACCTCATAGAGGTTTATAAAATCATGAGAGGTATAGATAGGGTTAATGGTCAGTATCTTTTCCCTAGGATGGGGAAATTTCAAGAATACAGGGCACTTTATTAAGGTGAGAGGAGAGAGATTTAAAAAAGACATGAGAGGCAACTTTTTTTTTACACAGAGGGTGGTTTGGGTGTGGAATGAACTTCTTGAGGAAGTGTTTGAATGCAGGCAGAGTTACAATGTTTAAATGACATTTAGCTATGTACATGAATAGGAAGTGTTTGAAGAGATATGGCCCAGGAGCAGGCAGGTGGGACCAGTTTAGTTTGGGATTATGTTCAGATTGGATGGAAAAAGGGTCTGTTTCTGTGCAATGTGACTCCATGACTCTATAAGTTCACCACACCTTCACAAAACTTGCTGACGGTTCTTGATTAATCTCTTCTGCTCCACATGCAGATTAATTCTGTCCCTCAGAATAGCATCAATAGTTTGCCCACCTAATAGCTGATATTTTGCGACTTGATAAGGTTTAGGTTCGACTGACTGGCCTGCAGTTTCCTGGTTTATTCCTTGTTCTCTTCTTGAATAACGCTGTCACGTTTGCTGTCCTCTGGCATTTCTCCAATGCTCAGACAGGAATGCTCAGGGTGGCTCAGTGGTTAGCATTGCTGCCTCACAGCCCCAGGGACCCAGGTTCAATTCCACCCTTGGGCGACTGTCTGTGTGGAGTTTGTACATTCTCCCCGTGTCTGTGTGGGTTTGCTCTGGTTTCCTCCCACAGTCCAAAGACGTGCAGGTTAGGTGGATTGGCTGTGCTAAATTGCCTGGGATGTGCAAGTTAGGTGGATTCTCCCTGGGAAATGCAGGGTTACTGGGATTGGGTAGTGGGGTGGGACTGGGTATAATGCTCTTTAGGGGGTGGGTGTGGACTGAATGGCCTGCTTCTCCACACTGTAGGGATTCGAACACTTTTTTTTTTGCAAACACCCCTGTAATTTGCTGACTTGCCTCATTCAACAACCTGGGATGCATTTCATCCAGCCCTAGGAGATTTGTCTACTTTTAAGCCTGCCAGACCACTCAGAACCTCCCCCCTTTGTCTTTGTACCATCAGCAAATTTCATCATAAAACATTTGAACTCCCCTTGCCCCTGACACTGCTTGCCATAACACCTTGTGTCCCGACACACCCTCGCCCACACTGTCTATTGAGGGGCGAGGGCCTATGAGACTGGATTCTGTGCTGAGATTAGGGTATGGTAGCTTGACCTTTGGCAGTAGGTGATGACAATGATGATCTGTACCTACCCATTCCCTGCTGCACCTTCATTTTGCAAAGTAACATGTGTTTATGTTTCTTGTATTCCCTCTTTCAGTCATTTCCTACAGACCTGAAAGCCAGCCAATTATTTTTAATGTAGCCTGCTGAATAAGCAGGATGATCTCCTCATTCCTAGGGAAGTGGTATTTAACAACGAAGCACACAACAACATGCAAGAGCCTTGTTTCTGGTCGCCCCAATCATCCCCCACTGTCAAGCTTCCAATAGTGATGGAGGATTATTGACGTACCATTCAGTCACACTCTGCTCCAACTCCTGCAGTATTTCCTGGTGGAGATCAAGGAGCTCAGAGACAGCACTCAGGATGAAAGTGACTACTTCCCGGTCCAACACAGGGCACACTTCACCATCAACAGCCTCCAAGGCAACTCCTCTGAAGTCCTGTTGGAAGATAAAACAACCCAAATTGAATGTGTGAACTCACCCCGGTTATCCCATTGCCAATAGATAAAACGTAGCGAGGTTGAGATTGAACTCAAGGACTGATGGGGACTAATACATTCATTCCTAAAAGTGAGGAGAGGAATGTTTTGCTGTATGACCTCACTGGGAGAAGCCAAGCGTTCCTTTATAGTGACAGGCCCTTCCTGACACTCATTCCCGTTCAGTGTTAACTGCTTCACCAACACTCAGCAACAACTTAAGGTGCCCTGATCAAAATTACTATTATTATGTGAAACCTGTCCTCAGCATCATAGAAACCTGCTCTCAGCAAGAATGTTCCATCTTGTGTTCTCTTTGGCAACTGGTCATGGCCTCATCTTCTGACTCATCTCCTGCTTCCCACCTCCTTCCCCATTCGGCGCCACTCACAAAAGCAGGCTCACTGCTAACTGCGATCCCAGCCAACAAGGCCTCGGTGGAAGCAGGGCTGTGGAGACAGCAGAGGAGGGGTCAGCAAAGACGGAGCAGTAAGGGCTCAGGTCACGGTGAGGGGTCAAGGGCCAGGTGAAGAGTAAGAGCGAGGGGTTGTGGGGCGATGGTGACTCAGTGCTGGAGAATGAGTCAGGGTAAGATGTGGCGCAAGGACAGGATGAAGGTACATGGCAGATTCAGATGTCTGGTCAGGATAAGGGGTCAGGTCAGAGAAAAGAGTTCAAGTGCAGGGTGAAGGATCATGGCAGGGTGCTGGGTCAGGATTCAAGACAGGATAGGGGTTTGGGCAGAGTGAAGGCCCATGATCAGGGTGAGGGATCAGGGTCAGGGAGAGGGGTGAGGGTCAGGGAGAGGGGTCAGAGTCAGGGAGAGGGGTCAGGGTCAGGAAGAGGGGTGAGGGTCAGGAAGAGGGGTGAGGGTCAGGAAGAGGGGTGAGGGTCAGGGAGGGGGGTGAGGGTCAGGGAGGGGTCAGAGTCGGGGAGAGGAATGAAGGTCAGGGAGAGGGGTGAGGGTCAGGGAGATGGGTGAGGATCAGGGAGAGGAATGACGGTCAGGGAGAGGGGTGAGGGTCAGGGAGAGGGGTCAGGGTCAGGGACAGAGGTCAGGGTCAGGGTCAGGGTCATGGAGAGGGATGTCAGATCCCACTGGGGTAGTATGCTGTAAATCAACATCTGCTGCTCCCTGAGTCATTACAGAAGTTTTTAAAAAAAACACAGAATTTCCCAACTTTCAGGCCCAGATTGACAGAAAGCTCAGACCAGGTTTCTATCCTTAACACAAAATAACTTTGACACGAATGGACTCCAGCTCCAGGTCAGGCATTATGACTCATTGCAACATAACTGGACAACTTAAAATTGCAATTTACACATAGTGATAGGCTAAATAATGAGGGTTAATGAGCCTAGGGGCGGCTGAGAAAGCTGTTCAGTTGTTTCAGTTTGTATGATCTGCTGGGATGATTCTTACACCAAGCAGAACTCTGCTTTTTAGTCTTCCTTCCCCAGATACTTTCACTAGCTTTGCAGAAGATACAGGATGGCTGGCTCATGCTTATGAGAAGAGTCTAACTTATTAATCATAACAACTGCTGAAAAACCTTTTTTTTTTGTCAAGATTAAACTACTCTGAAGTAACAGAACAGAAACAGCTCCTGAGAGGTATCCTTGGAGGTATCTGACGGCTTCTCACTATCTTGTTCATAGCACTAAGCTATTCAGGTTCCTGGGACCTAAGATTTTGGCAGGCAGATGGCCCTTGTCATTTATAACTGGTCACTAGTCCACAAACCAATCAGCTACTTGTTACTGCCTGAATCTCCATTTGTACACGGCCCTCGGCCCAACTCATCTGAACTGTCATCTGCTTAAACTAGCAGCTTTGTAAACAGTACTTACAATGAGCGTCAGGTTATTTGCTTTTATAAACTGCGGTAATCCTTCGACACTCCTTGCTTTAAAATGAGTTCTTTTCTCATCTCAGTCCACAATCAAAACTATAGAAAAATTAAAAGGCATGGTCTTTACAGAGTTCAGAAGCAGGGTGAGGGGTCTGACGCATTGTGAGGAGTCAGAACAAAGTGAGAGTTCAGGGCTGGGCAACTGATCTCATCAGGTGCAGGGGTGGGTGTTCGGAGCAGGGTGAGCGCTTAGGTCAGGGACAGGGATCAGGGGTGAGAAGTCAGAGCAGGGAGAGAGGTCAGGTAGGATGATGGACGGGAGTGACAACCCCTGATCCACGCACATTCCATATACACACCAAGGAACAAGCCTGTCAACAATTCAAGCTCGTACTCACTGTGTGTAGGAGATTCAGCACACTGACGTACCTATGAAAGTCAAACAGAAAGTAATAGACTGATACAAACTTGTAACAACTCAGTGCATTCAAAGTAACTTGCAGGTATCAAAATCACATTGACAAAGGTTACTACTTACACTCTCTCGGAAGTTGTTAGGACTTTTACAACGTGATAGGCTTCCATTTCGACGTTAGTCTATAGGAAAGTGAATGAATATTTAGTTCCAGTGGTTACACTTCACTCCCATAAACTGTAAGGTGATCACAGGGTCCAAAAAATCTCCAATCTGTTCATGTGATTGTGATGATCCACAATGATGGAGCTCTGTATGCCTGTCCCTGAAAACACTGGTTAATAAAATCCCTAGCAATTTCAGATTTCAAAATTACAATTATCCAGACACCAGTTACCACTGTTGGGAGACAGCTTAATGTTGTAACCTCCTTTACAGGTGAAATGTTTCTACAATCACTGCTGGAGGAGGATCTGAATCGAATTCATTTGGCTATGTCCCCTCTTACTCGACAACCCAGTCCATCACAATACTTTCTATGTAGCGCATCAATTCCATAGAATATCCTGAAATACTCTATCAAGTTATCTGTCAAGATGTGCAAATTTCCTGGTAATGCAACCCACATTTAGATCATAGAATCCCTACAGTGTGGAAACTGTAGGCCCAACAAGTCTGCACCAACCCTCAGAGCATCCCACCCAGACCCATGCCCCTATAACCCACCTAATCTACACATCCCTGAACACTATGGGCAATTTCCCATGGACAATCCACCTAACCTGCACATCTTTGGACTGTGGGAGGAAACTGGAGCACCCGGAGGAAACCCACACAGACACGGGGAGAATGTGCAAACTCCACATAGTCACCCGAGGGTGGAATCGAACCCGGGTCCCTGGCGCTGTGAGGCAGCAGCGCTAACCACTGAGCCACTGTGCCACCCCATTTGCGGAATCTTTCCTTGTAATTTAAAACCCTTGAAATCCAGGTACTATTTTAGTCAATCTTTGCTCCACTGAGTCCCAGGTCAGGGTATTGTTCCTGAACTGTGAGCCCAAAACTGAACACCGTGTAGTCTAACCAAGGTTTGGGTACAGCTGAATACCCTCTTGTACTCTAGATGTTAAGTTATAAAGGCCAGCATTCCATAGGCCTTTTAGATAACTATCTGTTTCTTGTCATGTCATTTAAATGACAGTATACCTGGAACCCCCAATCTCTTTGGAACTGCATTGCTTTAAGCTTCTCACAGTTTAGAAAATCTCTTGTTCTATCCTTTTATAGGTCCACAGGGATACCTCACCTTTGCCAATGGCTTTGTCCATGAATTTTGTTCAGTGAATAACTAAGACTCCAATACAGATCCTTGAGGGACAACGTGTCCCTATACTGCCCATTGTTCCTACTCCCTACCCCCCACTGCTGAACCAATTCTTAAATCAGGTCAGTAACTTATCTTCAAGTCTGTCAGCTTCAACATCAGGTTCAGAGACTATTATCAAGTGCCTTCTCAAAGCTAAATAACATCTAGAGATATTCCCTTGTGCACCTTCTCTTGCCACAACTCTAAGATTTTGTCTGATATTTCAGGCATGTTCAGCTCTATGATCAGCTGAAAATTTTTAATGTCTTCAGACAACCTTTATTACAGTCACGAGGAATTTCCCAATGACACATATCAGACTAACTGATCTGTCAGTCCCTGGTTTTGTTCTCTCACCTTTCTTAAAGAGCAGAATGACGCGCACAATTCTCCAAGTGAAAGGAACAGCTTCCAGATTGAAATAACTTTGTAAAATTACTGGTAAGGTCTCTGCAATGTGCTTGGCTGCTTCATTTAATACCTGGGACGTAGAATCAACTACTGTTGAAGAATGCCACCTCTTCAATGCCAACGTTTTCTTCATTCCTACTATTTTTTCTTTCATTAACTTGTGAGAGTTAAAATGCTGCATCACTATGAGATTCCCCAGCATGTTTAGCATACTATCCTTCTCCTGCACATACAGACCATCCCAGCCAGTCATACATAACTCCCGCCACACGCACCTGTTCAGCCAGGTCTCTTTCGATCTCCTCAGACTCTGAACTGTTTCCAATCTCCACATCCGATACGAGCTCGTCTCCACTAGGTGTGCATGCTGTCAGAGTCTCACTCTCAACACTGCAACAACAAGCACCACTTTAAGCTTTACTGCTTTAGTTCCAACCTGCAGATTCTCTGACAGTGGGCTCTCCCCATGCACTCACAGTAAATTGCCAAGTAGTTCCACTTTGAGAGGGAGGGACTAGAGATACAATATATGGAGAGAGACAGGATGAAAAGCAGAGGGTGCTGGATGTGCAATGGCAGGGTCATGAATATATAAAGCCACATCACATCTGTTACTTTCACAATGATGTGGTATTTACAGTCAGAATGTAGTTACAATCCATGGCATGTGAATCTTCAAAGAAAAGATCTCTGTTGTGAAGAAATTGTGAGATTTAAATGCATCATTTAACACAAGTTTGGAATTTTCGAATTCTAGGTTAAACATATGGATTTGTCAAAAAACCGAAACAACTGCAGATGCTGGAAATCTGAAACAAAATCAGAAATTGCTGGAGAAACTCGGCAGGTCTGCCAACATCTGTGGAGAAAAATCAGAGTTAACATTTCAGGTCCAGTGTGTATAAAAACCACAATATCCATAATTTTAAGCGGTAGCAAGTTACTCAGAGCTCAATGGGAACTACCCAGTGGTGTAGGGAGAGAACTTTCCAGAGTCTGTAAATTCTCTTGGAAACTCTTTTCATTTTCAGTACGTGCTAACAAGTCCTTTGAGAGAGGTGTGTATCAAGCCTGAGGTGCTGAGAACTCTTTTAATGGCATAAAATGGGCAAAACAGAAAACTTAAAATATAAAAGAGTTGAAAGGAATAAAATGATTGTAAAACAAGACGTTATTAGTAATACTAGACTGGAGTGTCAGGATAAAGTGAAGTTAAGTTTTTTTTGAGTTAAAAAAAACAAATGAATTGAAGCTGCATCAGGGATCATATAGAATTGGAAAGAAGTTTAGTCAGGAACATAATAATAATTGGGAAGAGTTAGCTATAGTTCGAGCAGATGAGTTTCAATTTAAGGTATTTCAAACCCATCAAAGTATTAAAAATGAAAAGAGTCCCTCTCTCTCGGAAATGAACTGGTCTGGATCTTGCCAGAGGTACAGCATAAGATGTTCTTAGAATTGGAATAAACTTTGTAAACTGGATAGGGCGAACTGATTCTGGTACAAAGCTGCTGTTCTTATTCAATTTATAAAGGAGTGTTTGGGTTATTTGTCCTGTGTGTTTAAGAATCTTTGAATCTGTGTTATACAAGAAAGGAGTATTTTTTTTTGTTTATCTTAATCTCCGTTAGAGAACTTTAGTGTTATTTTCAGAATAAAAACTGCAATATCGCGTGCTTATGTTTTAGAAACAGATCACTTCTGTAACAAAAATAAATCTATTGAGCCAGGTCCAAGTTGGGGATTTGACTTCTTCCATACTAACATTAACTGGGTGTTGCCCCAAAACACTCAGACCATAATAATGGGGCTCATCATCTGGAATCTTTGAAAATGACGACAAACTTGTGCTGAGACACAAATCTATTGAGAATGGCTTTGAATGTTGTTAAAAGATTTCTGGAAGGGAATATATAAAACAGTGGATTATTTAAAATGCTTGGGGCCACTAGGTCATAATACTATGAAAGCTGCAGTCAAGGTGAAACTGAACCAATAATGAGGGAGCAATGAGGGCGAAGCAAACACAATGGAATATAAAACCTGAACTAGGAATCATTCAAATTCATCAAGGAATTAGATTAAGTTTAAACTCAGGCTAAGTATCACAATCGAATCAAGTAGAGATTCCATACTTTGGTAACAGCATTCTCAACCCGTAAATTCCAACAGGTTTATTTGAAATCGCCTGACAAAAGAGCAGTGCTCCAAAAGCTTGTGATTTCAAATAAACCTGTTGGACTATAACCTAGTGTTGTGTGAATTTGTCTACCCCTACACCATAACATATAAACCTCCACATAGAAACATATAATATCCTGATGGGACTGGACAGGCTAGATGTGGGGAGAATGTTCTCAATATTGGGAAAGACCAGAACAAGGGGTCACAGTTGAAGAATAAGGGGTAAGCCATTCAGGACTGAGATAAGGAAGAATTTATTCACTTTGGGAGTTGTGAACCTGCAGAATTCTCTCCCACAGGAAGCTGATGGGATTAGATATATTCAAGAGGGAGCTGGATGTTGCCCTTGTGGCTAAAGGGATCAAGGAGTACGGGGAGAGGGTGGGAATGGGATACTGAGATTACATGATCAGCCATGATGATATTGAATGGTGGTGCTAGCTCGAAGGGCAGAATGGCCTACCCCTGCAGCTATTTTCTATGTTTCTATGTAACTTCCAGATCTCTTAGCTCCTTTAAAGTTGGAACCTTTATTTTGTACTGTCTCTATCCTACAAAGATGCATTATTTCACATTTCTATCAGACCCATAAGTCTTAGGAATGAAAAAAGAACTTTTAGCCCATTGAGTCTGCTCTACCATTCATTAACATCATTACTGCTCTGATAATCATCAACTTCATTTTCTTACCTTTTCCCTCTAACTCTTGATTCCTTCAGTGATTGGAAATCTATCTACATCCTCAGAAGACAGATATGAGATTCATCCGATAGGGTGCCCTTCGTCGTCCAGTACTTCTCGGGAGTGGAGCAACTACACCATGTTCTTCACAGCCATCAACACATTACCAATGATGATGACGACCTCACCAAGATCTTCCCCACACTGCCACTTCTCGCCTTCAAACAACTGCCAGACTTTAAACAGACCATTGTTCACAACAAACTACCCAGCCTTCAGGACAACATCAACAATGACACTATACAACCCTGTCATGGCAACCTCTGCAACACATGTCAGATCTTCAACATGGATAGTACCATCACACGTGGGAACATCACCCACCACATGCACAGCAGATACTCATGTGACTCGGCCAATGTTGTCTATCTCATACTCTGCAGGCAAGGATGCCTCGAGGCATAGTACATTGGTGAAACCATGCAGATGCTACGATAACAGATGAATGAACACTGTGCAACAACACAAATGTTCCCTCTCAGTGGGGGAACATTTCAGCGGTGAAGGACATTCGGCCTCGGATCTTCAGGTAAACATTCTCCAAGGCGGACTTTGGGATACACAACAACGCAGAGTCACCGAGCAGAGGCTGATAGCTAAGTTCGGTACCCATGGGGACAGCCTCACCCAGGATCTTGGGTTCATGTCGCACTACAGGTGACCCTGCTACACACACACACACACACACACACACACACACACACACACACACAGACACACTGTATGGGGTGAACTTGGATTTGCAGATACATTCTACTTTGTTCAAAAAACATACAGTTTATAGACAGTCAATCAATGTGGCGTTTTATAAATTCCTTCTTTAGGAACAAAGTTTGAATCCAAACCAAAACACAAACAGATTCTAAACAAGGTCTCACACCCAACATGCATTGTCTGACCTAAAATATCACCTCTTCTTTACATTGATAAAGCCTTTAGTTCTCTCAGGACAGTGACTTAAAAGGATTTTGGCGATTTACATATACATATTAACCAATTAAAACCTTCTAACTGATTAAAGATTTAACAGCATTTTAGGTTTGTTTAATACATCCTCATCAGTAGTGTGAACCTTTGGTCTTTTACCTATAAAGTCTGTGTCTGATACTACCTCTCTCACTAACACCTGTAGGAGGAGTAAGACTCCGAAAGCTTGTGATTTCAAATAAATCTGTTGGATTGTAACCTGGTGTGGTGTGATTTCTAACCTTGTCCATCCCAGTCCAACACCGGCACCTCCACATCATACCTCATGGTGGAGCAAAAACATTTCACTGATTCACTCTCAGAAAAAAATCTTCCACATCTCTGTCCCCACTCGGCAACCACTTACTCTAAGGCTATTGTCGCTGGTCCTAGACTCCCCCATATATAACCCTTATATAGTTTAGTAACACCTCACTATTTTTATACTCTACTCCATTTGCAACAGAGGTAAAAATTCCAATTACCTTCCCTATTGCCTGCTTAAATGGTATACAATCCAGAAGACATAGACATTATAGGCTAGTTAACCATGGAATGATAGAATCCCTACAGTGTGCAAACAGGATATTCGGTTCATCCAGTCCACACCTCCAAACAGCATCCCACCCCACTACCCTATCCCTGCATTTCCCATCGCTAAACCCATCTCGTATGCACATCCCTGGACACTATGGCCAATCTGCACCACCTAAACTGCACATCTTTGGACTGTGGGAGGAAACCAGAGCACCCAGAGGAAACCCACACAGACACGGGGAGAATGTGAAAACTGCAGACAGTCACTCGAGACTAGAATTGAACCCGGGTCCCTGGCGCTGTGAGGCAGCAGTGCTAACCACTGAGCCACGTGCTGCCCCATAAACTAAAAGTTATAGGAAATGAACTCCCCCCACATTAACTGGGGTAGTAATAGTGTGAAAAGTCTGAAGGGAGTAGAATTCTTAAAAAGCTGTTCTGGATGCATTTTAAGCCAGTACGTAGAAAGTCCTACAAGACAGGGAGCAGTCCTGGACTTAATTTTAGGCAACAAAGCTAGACAAGTGGTTGAAATATCAGTGGAGGAGCATTTTGGAAACAGCGATCACAACTCCCTTAGATTCGAGACTGTTGCAGAAAAGGACAAGGATGGGCCTGAGATCTCAACTGGAAGAAGGCTGATTTTAGTAAAATTCGATATTATTTGGTCAGAGTGGACTAGGTACAGATACTTTCAGGTAAATCTCTCTGAGAACAACAGGAGGCATTCAAGAAGGAAACAGGGAGAGTACAGGGCCAACATATTCCAAGAGAAATAAGAATGTGACCACCAAATCCTATGGACCCTTGATAACAAGGGATATACAGGATTGGATAAAGAAAAAAAAAGGAGGTTTTTTGCAGATGCCCAGGGCTCACAACACCAGAAAGTCAAGAAGAGTATCAAACCTGCAAATGGGAAATAAAAAAGGAAATCAGGAGAGCTAAAAAGGATATGAGACAATACTGCAGGCAAAATGAAGAAAAATCCAAAGTTATTTCGCAAGTACATTAAGAGTAAAATGATAACG